TCTCTGAAAGTTGGATATGCGTGAAGTTTAAAAAAAATTACACCGTACTCCTTTCATCATTACGGAAATTTGGCCTAATTTCAATCGTCAACGCTTTTTGTACCTCCTTATAGAAATGCTCTCTTTTAAAATCTTTACTCTGTTTTTTGTTTTTATATTTGAAGTGAAGTTTTTCTTGCTAATATTATAATATTTTCTTATATGATATCGTGAGTTTTCAATTGGGTAGGTTTTGTAGTTGAACCATCACAATGGAGTGTTTCCTTTCTATGATTCAAACTTCATTTGCTAAAAGGAAGTGTGGTGGACAAATTTGTCTATATTCATAAGACAAATGAATCAAACATTTGTATTTAAATATTTTACTTCACTAATAAGGTTTCTTTTTATTTAAATACAAGGTGTCACCTACAATTATTTTAGATTATTTATTCTCTGTTTGCTTATTAAAATGTCATCACTTTTTCTCTCTCAATAGATGATTATTTTATAATCACGTTCATAGGATGTAATTTTTACTAGTATGTATGTGTGTGTGTGTATATATATATATATATATATTTTATACACATATAAACATACAATCTGTGTATAATTCTTAATAGATGCGTTGAGATGTGAGAGTTCATATTCAAATGATTAACTGATTCTTCATAGCTCGAGAATTACTTTTGCTTTCCTCTATGCTTGAAATTCAATATAAAATGAATAAATAAATAAAAAGATTTGGTCTATGCTTCACAAGTTGACTAACCCTTTACTTTATTTATTTCTATGTCCTTTCATTTATCTAATCTGCATAGCTTACAACATACGTTAAACAATTAAAAAACGCGTATGATTGTGTGGATGTGAGTAGAAATCAAATTAATTTATACATCCACACAAAGTTTTATATATATATATATATATATATATATATAGGAATGAATATGGCACAAATGCAGTGATAATTGGACTTGTGGGCTACTATATATATGTGGAATTCTTCCACTGCTATCATGACTATATTGCTATATATATCACTTTCATGGGTGGACAAATGGTCAATAAATTGTGGAATCTCAAATAAAATCTTATGCCCAAAACATAAGTTGCCTCTATGTATTTTTTTTTTAATTTTTTTTTTAATTTGTAAAAAAATGACTGTTCAGACCATCAGAGACCATTAGATTATATGGTTGTTGAAAAGTACATTTTAATTCAAGAGATGATCCAAAGTTTACAATAACACCAAGCAAGCAATAAAAACAAATTTAAATTAACCTCTTTAATTTTTTCATCAATCAAAAAAATTGAAAATTATATAACAGATTTTACAGTTTTTAAACATTGAAGAGTGAAGAACGAACAACTCATCAGAACGAAATTTACCTCTTTCAAAAAATTCTCAAGTCTTACATTTGTAAATGGAGATCAACTTATTGAATGAAGCATGCACGGTGAGATGAAGGATGGATGACTCGAATTATCCAAAAAAAACAAAATTGAGAGCTCATATTGATTCTTAATATAAAATATGATGTGTGTAAAAGATTTTTTTTTTTCAACCACCACCGATATAACAAAATAATAACACACTGAAAAATATTTGAATTCATTTGACTATACTGAAAAATATTTGAATTCATTTGACTATACTTATGCTTCCTAACAATAAATGCAAAAAGAAAAGAGGAAAAAATACGAGGAATTGAGAGATATATAGATTTTATTAGAATAGAATAAGAATGATTGAAAATTTCTATATCAATTGATCAATAAAGGTTATAAAGTTTAATTTGAGAGAAGATGAATTAGAAAAGAAATGATGAGAGAGAAACAAATAAGGAATAAAAGAGATTTAGAGAGGCTTAAACTAAACATTGAAGATGCTTCGATAGCCCAATTGGTTAGTACCTCTGGTGGATTTTAGAATGCTAGGTTTCGACTCTCTGCATCTACTAATCTTAACTTATAATACTTCTTGACTAGAAAAAAATAAAAATAAAAAAATAACATTCTCAATATATAAAACAAGAACACTTCTACCTAACTAATTACTTAGTATTTAAAATACGGGTGTGTTCGACTACTTTGAATTAAAATTTAAAAAAATATTCAATTTTCTTAATTATTTTTTCTTAAATTCCACCAATTTCAATTACAAAGCTTCAACCAAACACACCTAAATATAAACATCACACTGATAGTCTCACAGAGTACCTTTGAATTGCTTAGATTGTAACTTCCATTAATTTTTGATATATGACATCTAATACTATTGTTATGCTTTTAATTACAAGTAATATATTTGGTGAGTAGTTGAAAAAATATGAAAGCCAAGCAAGCAGAGAGGTTGGACAGAAAAGGGCGGGGACCAAAATCAAATGTGGCCGTCGGTCAGTGTGTGTGAGCTAGCAGCTATCATTGCCAATAAAACTTTCACTCAGAGGAGGGAATTCAACAGTGCCATTTCAATTATGAACAATGTCACAAACCTGTGCCCACATATCCACACCATTGGCACTTTTTTAAGCAAGTAATTATTATTTATTTATTTATTTTGTGTGTGTGTGTGTGTGAAATTAGGGACAATGAAATTTGAATTCTGATATTTAATTTAAAAAGATAACAACCATTAAATCAAGACATTAATTTAAATAGTAAATTATTCCAAGCAACAGGTTTAGTAGGTGGGCTTGATATTCTTTAGTGTGTCCGTTGCTTTTTACAATTGGAAGAAAATTTAATTGCATTGGCTAGAGTAAGTATTTATTTATTTTATGATGATGGTGTATGGTCACTTATATCCCAAAATTCATTAGAAAACACATTAATTGAAATCTAAAGGAAATTGTTAAGTAATTACTTTTATATAAAGATATGCATATAATTTACTTTTTTTCTTTTTTTTTTTTTTTTTTGGCATTTCCACAGAAAGAACGAAAAGTGAATATTGAGTTTTTTTTTCCCCTGGGTAAAAGTAAATATTGAGTTTTTAAATTTGGCTTAACTATAGAGCATGAATATTACCTAAAGTTATTACTAGATTAATAAGTTATGAACTTACTGGTCACTTGTCTTATTTTCACATATTTACTCGATTTAAGCATTCTTAAATCGAGATGAGGCAAGTTACAATTCATCAAATGAAATGATTTGGGTAATGATTATGAAAATTCTATAATGGCGACATCTGATTGCTATTTATGCATGTAAGGTGTGGCTGGATAGTTGAGTATTCACCCTTATAGCATTGCACGGTCGGCCTTGAGATTCCCAAAATTTTAAGAAGCCTTGGACGAATTTTTAAATGCAAGACACTTTATAAGGTTTCATACACGTAAAAAATTTACAAAAGTGCAGAATTTTTATTAAAATAAAATGATAAACACATAAAATATATTAATGTTGAGAACACACAAAACATAACTACGTCTTTGTGCATTATAAAGTGCGCGGTCCGGTTTACATAAAAAGAAAAAATTAAAGAATATTTGACACAACTTAGTCAAAAAAAATTAAAATTCAATTTTATATCAAAGTGGATGTGACGGTCTTGCATTTTTAGTTGTAAAATAATCAATTAAAAGCTCTTTATACAACATATCCTTTTCAATATATTAACCAATCTATTCAATCTCTCTTATGACATCGTCAGCCATACGTAAGATTTGATCAACTTCAACTTTCAAAAATGTAATTGGAATAGTCAATAATACTTTATATGCAATTGAAGCATTTGAAAAATAATAACTTAACATAATTATAAAATCAAATACTTCAATTGCTTTTTTTGTTACTATTGGTAAAGTTTCTCTTAAGACTTGTAACTCTAAAAATAATTATGTCCAATCAATATCAGAAACCATGTCATATATTTAGGAGATTTTATAAGGTTATTTTGAAAAATGCGACAATTGATTGCACACATGAGTTAAAATTTTGATTGTTTGGATAGGGTTTAACGGAGCGTGCCATGCATGCACATAAGCCCAAAAATAATATATAATAAAATAAATTAGTTTTTAAGTTTAAATATAAAAAATCTTTTTTTCTTTTTGAGGGAAAGGATAGAAACAAATTATTGTTACCATATCAATTATAAGTATAATAAAAATGATATTATATGCACATGTGTTTATTGTTACATATATATATATATATTTTAAAGTTATTTATTGTCATAGATTTACATGATATATAATGTGTATTGTTTTTTAATTACAGAAATTATGGCCTAAATGTCAGACATTTATTACCATATTTATACTATGATCCTAAATTTGAAACCTTAAAAAACCGCCTTGATCGCAACTCGCAACTGAGTAAAAACAAAATAAAAACATAACATATAATATTACTTGCATTAAGAACCAATCTCACCATTAATCATTATAGTCTTGTCTATGGCTCAATTTCAATAACCGACTTCATCGGCGAGAGGTTTAACAAATTGTGCTAAATACAAATTATGCATAAACTACCCATTATAAAACTTCATAAACAAAATGAAATGCAACTTTATAAACAAATTATACCAGACTTGTCAAACCAGACAAGTTTTTATAATTATAAATGAAATGAAATTTATCAATTCGTAGGCTACATAATTCTATATTTACTAGATATATTAGAGTAGCAACTAATAATTTTATTTAATTTTTGAATACTAAATATCGGCACCTCATTAGTTAGTAGGGTGTCTCGTGAAGTCGTGAACTCCTTCCATGTCACCGCCTGTGTTGGCGCCTATAACTCTGTGAGACATCTGACAGGTGTGGGTAAGTTTGAAATTTTCCTTAATTTTTACTTTTTATTTATTATTTTGTAAAGGCTTTTTAAAATTTTGAATGCTGGTTATGCGAAAATAGTAAAATGTGGAGGGTCAAAGAAAAAGATTTGTTTAAGAATTGACTAGGTCAACAATATAAAGGCAAAGAAACAACAATAGTATTTTTTTTCGGAAATTAACAACACTATTTTAATTAAAGAGAGGCCTCCTTTTGTTTCAATTTTCAACATATCAACCAATAATCTCTCTCTCTCTCTCTCTCTCTCGTGTTGGGGTATGCCTTTTTCCTGTTGCCGGTTGATAACTTGATACCCCTCTCTCTCTCTCTCTCTCTAGTTGCTACTCTCAACAACTGCTCTGAGGCAAGAGATACATATGGGTTGGTTTCCCTGCTCCGGACAATTAAACCAGTCATCAAAGAAGAAGAGGAAGAAGAAACAATCACTCGATCCGATCGAACCCACTTCAGGTATTTGTGTTATATATGTATCTATAAAGTTTTTACCCATTTTGTCAGTCGATTGTTATTTAATCTTGCTGTTTGGGTTTGTTGTAAATCAATCAAAATTGGGTATTTTTAGTTGGCTTTGTTCATATTGTTATTTGGGTGTGAGGCGATTCTGGGATTTTTCATTTCTGGGTAAAGAAAGGATTTGGGGTTCTTTGAGTAAAATACATATATATACAGATATGCATATACCCATATAGCAAAGAGAAGTAAAAAAGTCTTATATTTCCTGTTATTCTGGGTCCAAGATAATGACAAAATTCTTACTTCAGTCTTGTACAATCATTATTTGGCTTAGTCAAGTTGAGGAATTCATTTTCAAGCTATTAAGCAGGAAAATTAGCTCATAAAAATTATTTCTTCAGTCATTGTTAGGTTTTTTTATTTTTATTTATGAAAAGTTATGTCTATCTTTTTACTTGAATTTGGAATTATTTTACTCTATAGAGATGTTTTCTAGTGTCTTCAGATAGCTGATTTTAGTTTTCGACTCGAATTATCCATCTGTCATACATACATATAGAGCACTCAAACCCTGGATCTCTCACTCTGGGGATGGCAAGAGATGCTACTCAAGCTAATACATTGTTAAAATTTTCATCCCTTAACTTTAGGTTTTCGCCTGCATCTGTTTTCAATTGGATTCACAGGAGGGTTCTGAAGTGGTGGGCTACCATGTGTATGGTTCTGCTCCAACCTTAATGTAACTTGAAATTTTCACCGAGCTTCTAACAATGACTTTAATTGAAGCCTCATTTGTTAACTCTTCTGATGTGAACTTCAAGTAGTGGGTCATGCTGGTAACTGGTTCAATGGTTCTTGGTACTTTTTTTTTTTTTTCCGTACTAGATTTGGACTTATTTCTTGAAGCACATCATACAGTTGATGCCAAGTAAAACATAAGAATGAATAAGGATTTCAGTGTGCTACTTGGTTCTATATAGTTCTTGCATTGTTAGAAAGGAACAGCGTATTAAAGTATATTAATTCTTGTTTGTTTCACATCATCACAAGAGCCCAAAGACAACCACTATTAGTGTTCAGTCCTTTGGGCCCCTTGTTTGCTCGGTGAGCTGTTCACGGTGTTGGTCTTTTATTATTTTTTTCCTGTAGTTGTGAAATTTTAATGCTGAACCATCATTTTGGTGCTTGCTGAAAGTTGCACTTGGAAATTGATTATATCTATGGAAGATTTGTACTAAAAGACCGTGTAATTACCTATGTGACTAGAGAACTTGTGATTTCAATAGGATGAACCATTATGCTTTCAAGTGAAAGGAAGTAGCGATGGCAACATTAATGAGTATACATTTTCAGTACAAGTTGTTTATCCTGTGCAATATTCTTCTTGGATTTGATGCTTTCTCTCTAAGTTTGTATATAATTTAGAGTAATCATTGTAGGAAGAACCGAAGAACAATCTTCTAGATTGAAGCTTGATCACCTTTCCGACTTCCGATAAACCTCCAGTATATTAACTCTACTTTACCTAAGCTATGTGTTTGCTCTGCCTGAATCCTTCTTGTATGGTTTTAGTCTAGGCCTTGCCTTTTCCACAATTTTTATTGTGTGCTTGTGTTTCCAGAGAAATTGAAGACAAACCCTCCATTGAAGATAAAGGATGCCTCAAAAGATGGAGGTTCCAACAGTATTGCTGCCCAGACTTTTACATTTCGTGAACTGGCAGCTGCAACGAAAAATTTCAGGGGTGATTGTCTTCTTGGAGAGGGAGGTTTTGGTAGAGTGTATAAAGGGAAACTGGAAAGTTCTAATCAGGTTGGTCAAATTTATTGTATTTTAATAATATGTAAAAGACTGAGGGGAAGATGGAGAGCAGTTGGAAGATTTTCAACTGTTTCTGCATAATTCCACATTTTGAACCTTATGTCTAATTGGCTATTTTCTGAATATAATTCTTAGCAGAATCTCTTTGACAAGCTGACTAGATTTGGAAATTCTGTGGATTTTTCTTCTGTAATTAGTGAGCTTTTAACGCATGTAGTACTTGGTCGTGAAATTCATATCTTGTTGTCCTTGTGTAGATTGTAGCCATCAAGCAACTGGATCGTAATGGATTACAGGGGAATCGGGAATTTCTTGTTGAGGTGTTGATGCTAAGTTTACTTCACCACCCCAACCTTGTTAATTTAATTGGATATTGTGCTGATGGAGATCAGAGACTTCTGGTTTATGAGTATATGCCACTTGGATCTTTGGAGGACCATCTTCATGGTATGTACAATGTGTAAAGCTCTGATCCTTTCTTTCGTCATTTTTATATTTCTTGTAATTGTGTGCAGTAATTATATTCTATCTTGCAGACCTTCCACCTGGTAAAAAGCGACTTGACTGGAATACAAGAATGAAAATAGCTGCTGGGGCAGCCAAAGGATTGGAGCATTTACATGACAAAGCTAGCCCCCCCGTAATATACCGTGATTTAAAGTGCTCCAACATTTTGCTCGGTGATGGGTATCATCCCAAGCTATCAGATTTTGGCTTGGCCAAACTTGGGCCAGTTGGGGATAATACCCATGTATCTACAAGGGTTATGGGTACCTATGGGTATTGTGCCCCAGAGTATGCAATGACTGGCCAGCTGACTCTAAAATCAGATGTTTATAGCTTTGGGGTTGTTCTTTTGGAGATAATTACTGGCAGGAGAGCCGTTGAAAATTCAAAAACTGCAGGAGAGCACAATCTGGTTGCATGGGTAAGAGATCTCCACAATCTGGTTACATTTTAAACCTTATTGTTTGGTGAACAATTATAATGCAGTGACTTATAATTGGTCAATTTGGTTTCAACCTGTTAAGAACCGATCATAAAACTGAACCAAAATTGGTCAATTTGGTTTCAAATTTGACTTCTGATTGTAATCAAACCAAACTCGAGTGGTAGATAATAGTAGATTTGATCTGGTTACGATATGAATCTTATTCGACTTAAATGCACATAATAATATCTGGTTACGATATGAATCTTATTCAACTTAAATGCTTATAATAATTTTATGTATTTTATCTTCTTCCTTTTTTTTGATTTTGTTTTTGATAAAGATTTTATGTTTTTTATATTCAGTCTGTCTTAGTTTGTGATTTCATCAAATGCCACTTAATGGAGGCATTTAGATTTTAAAAGTAAAAATGCAATGTCTTTTCCTATGCTACATGGAATTTCCTATGCTACTTGGATTTTATTATTTTAAATATATTTAATTTGGCAAAAGAAATTGGTCAGTCCCCAAAGTATCTTAATAGCGAACCTTATTGCTTGAATGTCATGCCAAAAGTAGAAAGATATTCATGAGTAATATTAATATTATTCAATTGCAATTTCATTAGGATAAAATTTCTTAACTAACCTATAACAATCCATCCTGGTCTATTGTGGTAGAATTTAAGTTAGATTGTAAATGGAATACTAATAAGGTTAAGACTTATCCTTGATACACAACCAAGTTACCATTATGTATAGGGTTTCCTTTAATTTTAGGGATTTGATAGGAAATTAGGAATTATATTAAAATAAGTCATTACCCAAGGTGGTCCCATTAATTGAGGGTGTTGGGAGGGGTGGACTGGATACATACCTAACTTTTGGCTTTATTTGCACAAAGTGACTGCTCTTAAGATTAGAACCCGCATTCTCACACTTGACTAGTCTAGACATTTTATCATCGGTGCAACGTGCAATGGGCTCCTATTGGAGTTATATTATTTTATATTTACCTTTTTATTGCCTTTTAAGTTTTGGGTTATTCAAGTATTATGTCTTTATAGGGTTTTGCCTAGAATATGTGTATGTAAGTTCTTTTATGGATTGTGTTATGACAAACATAACGAACCCAAGATAAAATCAAGAATCACGATAGAAAATTAAATACACCACACAAAGAACACAATGATTTATACGTGGTTCGGCAACAGCTTCGAATTTCAGAGTCTCTCTCTTACACCATTCCAAACCCTAAGTGCCCTTATATATCAGGTTACAAGAGAGTAATTAGGGTCTACGACCCATGAGCAAAAAACGGGTTGGGCTTGGGCCCACATAAAGCTCATCCAACGGGTTGTCAGGTCAAAAGCGGGTCACAACACAACTCGTCACCAAAATCGGGCCACAACATCACAGATTGGAATTATTATTATTTTTGGTATTGGATAAGGAATCAAAATTTTCCTCTGAAGAGCTTCTCTCTCTTCCGTTCTCATTCTAGTGGGGTTCCTTGTACATGGTGAGTAACCAATTTGCAATTGAAATGAAATATTTAGAATAACTGAATAAGTCCATGCAATTTAGGTGGAATCAGCGCAAGTTCTCTCTCTTTCTCTTCCTTCCCTACTCTATCACTTTGGTGCTAAGCATTTTCATATATGACTTTTTAGCTTCTTGTTTTATTACGGAAACAGTATTTTCATATCAGATTTAATTACAAAAGGAATATATTATGTTATTAATGTTTGACTATAGTTTGAGTGCTTTGCTTTATTATCAATTTGTTGCACTTTACCCTGTTTTTGGCAGATAACCTTTGATTTTTAAAAATACAAAGCAGCACTTGTCTCCCTTACTAACACATGTTCATTAGCTAGTGACTATATTGCCCTTATGTAAGAGAACTATTTTATATTATATTTTAATTGAGAACTGGAGAAGTACATAATTGCCCAATATAATCTTTCATTTTTGCAAACAGTGGCACTTATTTCATCAACTTAAAGGGTAAAAACGTTATTTAAAACAAAATAATGACTTTCCTTCATTATATTAACGGTCATGTGACTATAAGGGGGCTATACGCAATTCTTTTTGTAGATCGGGGGGGTATCTTCCAAAAACATAGTACAAGGGGGTTATATGCAATTAACCCTTGATGCTATATGCTACCTCCTCCCAGAATAAGTCTCCCTTTTTCCTTTCCCATATACTTTAAAATAAGTGTCCCTTTTTAAAATTCTATATACAAAAATTGAGAACTTTCCTAAATAGGCTTTGTGATTTTCAAAGGGGCACACGCACCATTAAAGAGTTGAAATACTTAAAAGGGACACATAATTCACGGTGGGCAGATTTTTTTTTTTTTTTTCTTTTTTTCCCAAAGGCACTTTACTATGCATGCATAAAATATTATTATTGGAAAAAATTAAAAGATTTAATAAATTCTGTATATTCCTGAAATATAGTGTCAATGAATGAATCTCACGTAATCCATCTGTTAATAGTTTACATGGATATGGTCTGATATTCACTTAATCACGTTAAAGTTTTCATTTTTTTGTTTGCTGAAAGTATTATATGAATACAGTTAATGTTCGTGAATAATTGTGAGTCTCCAGTGAATTCCAATAAAAACTTGTAGACACTAGAAGTTCTGATCAAAAGTATGAAACTTTGAATTAATATTCAGATTTGTGTTGGTTGGTTTTCCCTAAAAAACTCAACTGTTTTTTAGTCATTTTAATTATGAGAAGAACTTCTATTTTTTGCATCAAGTTGTTATCTCCCAACGATATCACAAATTTGGATTGTATCTTTGATTCTATGCAGGCAAGACCTTTGTTCAAAGATCGAGGGAAGTTCCCACAGATGGCTGATCCAGTGCTCCAAGGTCAGTATCCTGTTAGGGGCTTGTACCAAGCTCTTGCTGTTGCTGCAATGTGTGTTCAGGAGCAGCCTAATATGCGCCCAGTCATAGCTGATGTTGTCACTGCTCTAAGTTACCTTGCTTCACAAAAGTATGACCCTGAAACCGAGCCAGTCCAGAGTTCTCGCTGGCTTCCTTCTACTCCTCCCAGAACAAGAAGAGACAGTGATAAAAGACTCAATGGTGGTAGTGGATCTGAGAAAAGTCGAAACAGAAGATAAAATTGTGCTTACTCTGTTCTTAGGGATGACACGAATTCCTTCTAATATTGAGTAGACTGCTTTTAAGCTCATCAGTCATAGCTTGTGTTTCTAAAGTACTTATAAAACTGTTGTCAGTAATTGAAAAGCTCAGGGCTTGATGGTAAAGGCATTTCGGTTTGCAAATGGTTGGCGCCAATCAAATTTTAGTCACCCCATATTAGAGCTGCACCTCCCTGAACTGCATAATGTTCATTGTTGCGGGTAACCTTAGGTCTTCCTTTTCGTGTTTGTTGTTGGAGGAGAGAGTGTTTTCTCGTTTTGGTTCATACATGGGCCCAGGTGGTTGTATTTATAGGCCTCATCTCTAGGCATTTGGGTATGCTTCGTATTTTTTAATCCTATGCCCTTTCTTATGCTGGTTTTTGTTGTATAGTTATTGTGTATTCAGTTAAGCAAGTTCTGTAATAACAGTTCAAACCTTAACAATATTGCATAATGGGTTTGAAAAATGCATATGGAGATCACAGTGAGAGTTATGAAGAAGGTAATATGCATTACTCTTCTTTTACTTATCCGCTTTTGAAGCCTACCTGGGTGTGTATGAACCTGTTGTAATTGAAGATGGATTGGCACTTTTCAGTTGTCTCCTTACCTTTTCGCTTTTGACAATTTAAATCTGAGTGTGTTGTTTTCTGTTTAATAACAGCAAATTGCATACTTTCTTGTTTCAGCAAACAAAATGTCAGGTCTCGTCCTCCTAGTGCCGTCAATCCGAATCATGTAGTATTAGTTGGTTTTCATTCCTTTCCTCGCCAACCCACATACTCCATATTTATTTATGAGATTCTCGTAGTTTATTACATGCATAGATTTGTAAAATTGTAATCAATGGTTTTCTTATCATAAAATGGCTAAATTGATACCATTGTTTTTCTGTTGGAATGCGTTCGGGTAGTCCATAACTAGGTAACTAAAAGTTGCAGCGAGCAACCATTCATTGTCACAATACACAAGTGATCTAATTTATGCATGTAACAAAATGTTCCTAATATGATTACAAATAATTCATTTTATAAGAGCATAGAATCGTATAAAAAAAAATTGAATAGATACATGTGTTATAATGGAAGGTGTGGAGTAGCCGGGTGAAGAGTCGCAGAGGCTCCTCAAGCCGACATCAGTAGGATTTGATGGCTACCTTACTCCAAGCCCCAGCGTTCAAGTACAAGAAGAAAACTGGGCATCTATTTTACTGGAACATGTACAAGATGTGACAAGGCTCTAGTACTTGAAGCAGCAGGGCCTTTCTCCCGGTGAAATCTTGGCATCCACAATAGTTGGTTACTCCCTGTTATTTTTCCTGTTCCTGATGGCCATTAGCAGTCTGCTTGGTACTTACACCGGGCTCTTCAGCATTAGTTGGTTTCCCCTGTTACATCCATCTAATATTATACAAGCACAAGATGCAGAACCAAGCTAAGCCCAAGTGCAATGCAATGTCAGGAATTATTCAAACAATGAGAGGATCACCCGACTGACTATGGATGCATGGATACCTATTGGACACACGAGGGCTGATGGACTTGTTCTCTAAAACATTGGCAATTTTTTGGTAAGTAAAAAAAAATTTGCCAATTTTAACGTATGAAATGTGACTGACTCATGAAAATAAGTGCCTGTCAACCTAGATGTTCATTCATGTAGCATTGCACTACCTGTATGTGGGTAGATTTGGCAATTGAATCACCTTACCTTGTTCTTGTCTCGCCAGCCAAGTCCAAATGAGAGTAGACCCATCTTTCTTGTGGGCTGGTCCTGAGCAGAATCGGGATGCAGAGACCTACAAAGCATGCTCCGGTTACAATGCACCAGTTTCATCAAGAAGCACATGATCAATTGATTAATACTTAGAAACACAAAAGAACACACTATGTAAATGTGTGGAATGTAAGAGAGTTTTAATAGGGTGGCGCTGCTAGAAAAGTGTTTCAAAGTTTTATAGAAAATTTCTTAGCTTTGGTGGTGGTGTTGTCATTATCATTATTGATGAGTCATGTAACAGGTTGAATTAATTTGAAGATGACATGGCCTGTGGAGTAATGCAGCGACTTGGACTATTGAGACATTTCTATCTTTCACACCTACAATTTCAATCGGTTGGAATATACTGTTATAAAAAACAATCATAGAAGGCAAGTAACTCCAATTAACTTCTTCGCTGCATGCTTTTCACTAAAAATTCATCACTATTAAATTCAACTTGACAAAGCCTTGTCCCAACTATTTGAGAGCATTCGTATAATATGTCTTTCACGACTTTGTCCCAACTATTTGCAGAATAATTACATAAACTATGTTTCACCACTTTGCTATCTAGGGCCACAAATCCAGTTAACCCACAGGTGTCTGTATCTTTTATTACTATCCCAACCAATATAAATTTTGCTCCTCCCTTTTGCTAACATTACCTCCACATTTTTTGTTCTTTGTATTTGACCAAACCATATTAGTCAATCTTCTCTTCTCTAGTCTCCATCTACTTCTACTTCAACTGTCTCTGAAATGTGTTCAATTTTAATTTCATCCACATCTTATCATACTTTCATATAAACAACTGCATCTCAGCTCAACTCACTTAAAGAACATTTGTATGAGGTTTTAGCAATCTATTCCATAGAGCATGGCCAGTTTAATAAATGTTTTGTGGAATTTTATGTTCCGCTTGCTTTATCGATACAAATTGATCACAAATGTGCAAAATCCAATCTTCCACTTAGACATCTTGCTTTAATTCTACAAGCAACATACTCCAATCTATCCCTCCCAATAGGTAATCGGATCCAAGTAACAAAACTATTCAAGCTTTGCTATCTCATGATCTTAAATCTTCACTACATTCAAATTTGTATCGCATCCATGTGTTCAGTTTTGGTACTACTTTTCTTAAACCATTTTTAATTTTAAAGCTTCTCTCCAAACATTTTATTTCATAATTAATTCTGCTTCAATTTCTCTCTCTCCTGGCTTTAAATTAATAAATTCAAAATATAGAATCATTCTGAATTTATGTAGTATGTTCATAATTAAGCAAAAGAAGACGAGCATGATGTTATGTAGACCTACAACACCTATAATGACAAGACTTGTAAAGAAAGAAGCATTTGAAGTTGAATGATTGATCGTGTACCGTGGTGAAGATAGTCCTTTTTGGCCAGATTCATATTGCAATGTAGCCTCTAACATTGATTCTGCCATAACCACCCTCTTCTCCATTTGAGCAAGAGAAGCCATAGCCTTTTCATATTTTTCCTGCATAAGTATTGTTTTAAGTTGGATATAATTATATATGCAAACGGGAAGTGAAACTTAGTATCCTATTCTAAATATATATCAAGGTAGGGATACAAGACAAGTAAGACAAATTACCATTTACTATTATTTTCAGATAAATTTCTTTTCCGAGGCCAATTCCTTAGTATATTGATTTTTCTTTTCTTTTTCCCCCTGGCCATGATGGGGTCTGAATTTAAAATTTTGCTGGAAGACGGAACAGTGCATGTTTTACTTGGTGAATGTGACTTGCAGTGTCATTAGAATAAAATTTGTGTCCCTGATCTATAACTGTCTGACCGCAAAAAAGACAGTTTTGTGTCATCGGGTGCCACAGGGATTGCTTGAGCCGCCACCTTTGGGTAAAAAAGGGACAGTGGTGCCTCAAACAATGGGGATAATGTAATAAGATTTGTGTGTTCAATCCATGAAGCTGTCTCCTTGAAGAAAACTCCGCAAAAATAGTCTCTCAAATGTTATCTTAATAAAGTAACTTCCGTGTGCAACAAAATGTTCTTGACATTTTTTTTTTCAGGGATCAAGGATGATGTGAAACTAAAAGATGAGAAAGAACCTGAAGCACATGCACCGCATACTTCTGAGCGGCTGCATCTTGCTCAGCAAAAATGCGAGCATCTTCAGTTACCTTTTGTTCCTGCTCAACCCGCATCAGGACCTGGAATGGGTACGCGCAATTAATATTTATGCCACGAGTCATACAAGAGAAGGGAGGAGGGAGGGAGGGAGGGGGGTGGGGTTGGGCATACAGAATATCCTTTACAAAATAGATATTAGAGAAAATACTTGTTAAATTTAAACCTGAAGCATGGCATTTTCCTGTTCTTTCTTATCTGCAAGGGCTTGCCGTAGCTCAGCTACCTCTTGCTCCAACTGCTCAACCTACAGATTACCAACAGATCCTATAATACAGAAGCAAGATAAACTAACTTGGAGCTTGCAAGTGTTCACAGTTCTCACACGCACACGGGAATTGGTTGAACTCTGACCAATCAAGCATCTGCCTTTTTGATTTTTTTTAAAAAAGGAAAGAAAAAAAATGAATATAACTGGATTACATAGTGGTTGCAAATATAATAGAAGCTCTCATATGGTCATCTACATTAATGCCACATCGATTTTCTTTACGTTGAAGGTTAAATCATAAGTTATTGGTATTTAATCAGAAAATGAGTCAAATAGTGTACAAAATTATTTCAGCATCTATGATGCACATAAATATTCCTAAAAATCAATAAATTATACTTTGAATGAAGCATTGATAAATTTGTACAGAAAAAGCAAGAATAAGTTGGGAGGAGAAGTTTCCGGACGTGGCTCAAGTGGCGATATTCTCGCTCAAGCAAGAATAAGGACCTGCCTGCCGCTCGACCAAGTACAATGAGTTGCTATGTTGAAGCTATTTATGAACATTTATCACAGGTATTCTACATATTGTATGAATACAGGAGACATACATTTTAGAAGTACAACAAGAACTTTCCAACCCACGCACCTTCGCACAGAGAGAGAGAGAGAGAGAGTTATATCCCATCTCAACTAAATATTATAAGCAAACTTGCAGATATTTCCTTTATATACAATGGAAGATAGAACACAACAAGAACAGTTGTCAATATGTGCTTCAGAAATACCTTTGCACTCAATTGCCGTCGATTATCTTGCTTGACCATCTCCATCAGTGCTGTCTCCAACTCCTCAGCTCTGAAAAAGAACAAGACATCAACAAAATCAATCATATATGCCAAGGAGCAACAAGAAAAAGTCACTAAAGGAGTCACATCATGTTTCAAAAAATGGAAGCCGCCACATTGCAAAACCTGTTACAACTTACAAGCCCACACGTGTGGGTGGGTGTGTGTTCATGCGTGTATGTTTAATCATAAAATAGATGGCATAAAGAAAACCTAAAACAACCATAGGTCTAACAAAGGAAGAACTTCAGAATTAATACTGCTGGCATAAACTACACAAACAACAGTCAGACGAGCTATTTACACAATGCATTCCAGGCTTTCAGTTGCATTGGATGAGTTCCTGGAGTAATCTACTTGTGATTTTATTTATCTTATCAAATTTATTATAATTACTTGTCTTGTCGTCAACTTCAACAAAATGACCCAACTACAAGTACCACTAATCCTTGGCAAGATAAAGATCTGGACACCACAAAGAAAGTACTAACCTGAGTGTAGCAGATCTCTTCTCCTCCAGCATCTTGCTCAACTCGACCTTCAACCAAACCACCTGCAAACAAGCTGTTACTGACTGAAACAGTTAAAAGAGAAAGTTGCTTATATTTGACAACCAACTGCAAGTAATATACCACTAATTACCCATATAGAGTTCTACAATTATAGAAATTGGACAGTCATACTTAGCAAAGAATGATATGAGTCACAGTAAAAAAAGTTTTAGTCATGTCAATTCAATAAACAAATGCAGCCACCAAAATAAAGACCCCTATACTAAGACACACCAAGAAGCAATGAATCAGGTGCTCCAAGCCACAATTTACTTTTCCGCAAAATCACAGCTAAGATTCCCCAGTTTTTTAGGGAAACTGCCTTCTAGGATCTGATGATGCTTTCAAAAGATTACAAATGGTTTCATTACTGAAATATATATATATATATATATATATATATTATCCTTGAAAAGTTGGACTGCCGCAGTGTGCTTCACCGACTTGTCAAAATTTTCATCATTGTCAATTTATCCTACCACCAAAGAAGTTGTAGCACAATGGTGCAAGCACTAAAACTGACAACAGGGATGAATTTGATTCTTACCGTTGGAAGAATACACACACACTAAAAACACCCTTCCTGAAAACAAACAAAAAAAAAATAATCCCTCCCTGTCCCAAAATAAATGTCCCTTTTTCCTCTCTGGGATGTCCCAAAGTAAATGTCCCTTTTGAAAGGTCAATATAAAAAATTGAAACTTCCCTAAATTATCTAAAGTTTTGAAATTTTTCCCAAATTAACAATGTATATGTTTGAATTTTAAAGGGTTAGTTAAAATTTCCAAGGGGCACAATATATTACATGCATGTTTGTTTGAAAATTTAGAATCCCCAAAAGAGACATTTAACGTGGGACAAAGATTATAAAAGATAGAAACTAAATTGATTTCTTTTTCTTCTTCTCTTTGGATAAGAAAAGTAAACTGAGAACGTTAAACAACAAAACACTTGAGAGTGAATAAAAAGCAAGCAAAAAAAAAAAAAATTATTAGACTTTTCAGGACAACGTGAGAGCAATTGCATAAAATAACAAGCACACATGTATTACTTTCTCCGGAATTAAGCTCATTAAACGGCCATCTAAAATTATTAAATTCATTTTTATTGAATGTATCATGTATGCAAACATGCACACCCAAAAGAAAAATTATAGAATTTTCTATTAAGACAACCATCAAGATAACACAATTATGATAAGTAAATAGTAAGAATTGATAATTAAACTGGCTAGACCCGAACAGCAGTGGGATCTTAAATCAAGTATCATTTTTGAATCGGCACCAGCTCTGGCACATAACCTAGAACAACATTAAGGATGATATCAAATTTGGGCCATCTGGGTTTACTAAGTATTTTCAGACATTTTACCCCGAAAGTGACGGAATGTATTTCAATTAGATGGCCATTGGTGAATTTCGAAATGGACAAACTCCTGATTCGAGTTTCTCTTGTGGTGGCCATAGTCATTGCACATCCCCAATCTGATATTTTGTTCCTAGTCAATGAAAGAAGAAAGGAAATGATGGTTTTTACTCATATAAAGTCATCAAAGCAATAAAAGACATGAATTATATGGAATAAAACCCAAGAACTACTATCCCAGTGAATATGCAAAACCTATTTATTTTGCAATGTTATATATTTACTCTTAATGTCATCAAATTAAGCACTCCATGTGGGATTCTACATCAGACAACACAGGCAGTTATCAGCACCATGAAACAAGTTACAAGTTGATACTGATTAGGTGAAACATAAAGAGAACATCACATGTATGTGGGCCATACAAGAATAAGAAAAGATAATTCTGAATAAGAAAAGATAATTCTACTACATGCATATTCTTAAATATCAGATAGACAATCAAATGACTTCTTACTATTCAAAATATACCATATTAATGCAATAAAATTCAAAATAGTAAGCTACCTGTTCTTGAAGATCTGGAGGAGAACCCACTTCTGAATCAATGGTTAGGCCACTAAGAAACTCGTCCAGATCAGTGGAAGGAGACTCCAAATGAGATATAACCCCATCTGTTATCTTATCACCTGACTCTTCTTCTGTCTTTTTTTCTTTTTTAAATGATCCACGGTCATGCTTGAAACTATATAACTTAGATGCAAGAACTTTGGAATCCTTTGAAACTCGACCCCCTTTTGATCTTTCCTCAACCACTACTCGTACAGCTGGTCGATGCTTTTCTCTCAACTCTTGCAATCTATCTTCAGTTACAGTTAAGAAACCCATGCACGCAGTCAAAACAAGCTGGCTGCTATCAAATGTTGAACCAGTAAGGGATTGCAACAAAATAATAGCATCCCCAGCATCCTTAGTTGTAAGTAAAGCAGGACCTACAACAAGTTGAATACGATCAATATTCATAACTTAAAGTACCCTAGCAAGAGTGATAAATGGCAGTTAAAACATCCATTAACTTCATTGAAAATGTAATACTAGTTTTCTTCGTACCATATAACTCCATTAAAGCAAGTGCAGTTCGAAATAGCATAACACGATTTCCTTCGAATAGAATCACATCCCAAACTCGAAGAACTGAAGTCAAAACAAGTAGTTAGAAGGTAATTGAGCCTTGTAACTAAGAGAATTCACAATCCTCAGATATGATGATAGTGAAAATTAAAGACACACTATCGATATATATAATTTAGAACTTAAATTGTTATATCACACAACATAAACCTCACCACTTTCCCATGGAAGCATATTCACAAATATGGAAAGGAACCAAGGGCCAGAAATCCAAGCGACCTCCACTCCCAAGTACTCCAAATGTTTGACTGCAACAGAAGCATTAATGGAATAAGATAATTGCGTTGATGTAATGAAAATAACAGATAAAGAGGGTAATTGTAAAAAAGCAGTAGACAAACCCAGTTTAGGAAATCTTTCTTGCATCAACTCCTCAAAAACAAGTTGATCCACCTGATAAAACAGAATAAAATATTAAAAAACAATACGATAACAAATTTCCTAAGCAGCTGTGGTGTATTAATCGTCCAGTGCTCATTCATCAAGGTGACATCACACAATGAAAATTATTTACAAAAAGCAGCATGAAGTTAAAGATATTTGCTAAACAGCTCTAGACAGCACAAACATATACCTGAGATTCTATCATTTCTTCTGAGAAGTAGCCATCAAAGTAGTCATCAATAATACCCACCAAGGTCCTGAGACATTCAAATAAAACTAGTCTGTATAGCTAATTTACTCATTACTCTAAAGGCTTAAATAATACATATTTTATATATATAATATCAAAATTTTGTTAATCCCAAAAAAATATGGTATAATCATAAACATGATCTATTCATGTACACAACTAGGTTCAGAAAATGTTTCTTTGATCAATGATTAATATTTTGTTATACTATTAAGGGGAAAAAAATAAATAAATAAATAAATAAATAAAAAAGAAGAAGAAGAAAGAGAGTGGCCTTGAGTACACAGAAGGTATGAATTTATACAAAAGAGAATACCAAATAATAAATAAACCAAAAGAGAAACAAAAGGACAACAAAATCACCAAGGACCAACAATGCCAAAAACCTAAAAGATGTGCTCTTTTATAGTGAGAGAACTTTTTCGATCATAAGTCAAGGATTTTGGAAGAATGGCTTCAATTTGAAATCATAAGCTCTATCTCCTCATCCTCATCCTCCTCTTCTGCTCCCTCCATGTGGTTCAAATACAAGGAGAGATCCACACTCAAACCTCAAGCTATACTATCTCCTCAGCCTACCACCCGTCAACCTCTAAATGACTGCTTCATACACACACCAAAAAAGAAGAAAAAAATAAAAAAAAGGAAAGAAACCTTAAGTAACTTTCGAAATCACCAATATATATATCTATATACACACGCAGGACGCAGCTTGTGTGCCACCTTGTACACTGAAGATATATGAAAAAAGAATCCAACTGCACACCATTCTCAGTCAAGCAGCACCTGTTTGAAAAATGTCCATTCTATAAATTATTATATCGATAGTCAAGATTTTTTCGCAAATCTTCCGCCCTTCTGAGGAAAGAAGGCAACTTCAGTAATAGTGTGATCTTCCCAGAAGTAGAAAAATGAGATCACTTTCTAAGGGGATCTACTCAAGTACAATTTAACTGAGAAAACCTTAGTCCCATTGCATATTAGTGAGTAGATTTGATATATCTCTGAGCATGTTAAGGAATATAAGTTGTAAAAAAAAACGAAAAAAAGAAGGCAGTGCCACCTCCTATCTATACTTAACTCATTGTCAAAATTGGGGTTGCCAATGAACAGGATTACCCACCTGCTGCAAATGATCTTTCCAAGGTGATTACAACGTCCCCTATGTATTCTGAAACACTTGGAAGACTCCAATTCCAAAGGAGGATTATTACACCATTCGTCGTGCCAAAAAATATATGGTTGAATTTAAACTGAAACCCTCTCCCTCAAATCCTCCAACTCTCTTCATGATATCTTCCCATATGACCACCCGAAGCTAGATCGTTTTAGAACCAATTCCATCTCTTGATTTTACACTTCCACACATTAGGTTTCCTCCTAATGATATTCTTTTCTATCCTTAATTATCATAACACCTTAACCAACTAGTGTTTACTTATTGCTCACAAAGGGCTAAACTCGTACGTCCATTTGCTTCCCCTTGATGAAACTGTCATCATACCAAGGAGGCAATATTGAACTCTTCCAGCATCCTTACAAAAGAAATTTTGCTCAAGCTTATTAGGTCTCTATTTCACTCAGATGGCAATGAGTGAATAGACATGCACTATGACAGGGGACTCATCAAAGTGCTATAAAAATAAGGATGGTCCTACCTCCACTGAATAGATTCAAATCTCTCCGTCCTGATAAACTATTCCCAAACCTATTAGTGATAGAGAGTGACATTGATGTAAACTCAAAGCTAGAGCCCAAAGGAAGTCCCAGGTAAAATTAAGGAACAGATTCAGTCCCACACCTAAATCAGCACCAAACATGGCAATGTGATCCTCGTCCCACACAAAGATGACTTCACTGGCTTCCAAATATTGTAAATGTGAAACCATAACATAAACAAAAATGATGGAAATTTTCACCATAACTACAAAGACAGTATTGAGTTAAGGTTTAGAAAAGAAGTGCTCCATTCCTCAAAAATTTCAAAGAACATCCACATTGAAAAAAGAGGATGACAGATTAGTTTTGAAACCTACCAAAAGGCATTTTCCTCAGGCATCATTAGTAGTAATATGCCAGCAAAGAAATTCATTGCCTGCATCAGTATACATACCAAAGAGAAAAATGAGAACAAGAATTAATTATACTAATTGAAGTATTTATGTTAATAAACAGATCAAAGAGAGTAACATTAAATGCACTGCAGATAGCAGAGGAACAATAAATGCACTTAAAGTATATCACCGCAAATATTGTGTCCTAAAGAGAAAAAGAACAGGAGTTTACAAAAGTCGATCCTACCATTATCCTTTCTGGTATGCTTTGTAAACAGTGGTTTACCTTTTAAACGTAGTGTCATCTAAAGAAATTCCTACTACTCTCAAGGAGTTTCCGTGTTTAGTTTTCTTGCAAATGTGCAGAGAGAAAACAATCCATGACCAATACTTTTCCCTAGAAGTCAATGTCTTTGAAAGAAACTGGCTTAATTATATACTTGGGTTACCTCAAGATGTTTGAACTTAGTAGTTGGATGATACAGTGAGATATGAACATCATGTTCTAACCACATACCAAACAGCAGATTTGCCAGGGAAGGTTTGACAACAAGACGGACAATGGATTGCAAAGTAATATAAACCTAGTTGTCAACATCTCCTTGATTTTAAGAGCAGTCCTCACTCTAGAATATAAAAAGTTGCCTATATCGCTCAATGGTCACATGTTAACAGAAGAAGTAAAAATAAATGAGCATTCAAATTCCCTGCACCACTTACCTGACAATATCCTACAGAAGGGTTATGACGAGCATATGCCAGAAGTAAACGCCTCAAGGAGTTCCTACCATCTTCATTCAATGCCGGGTGACCTGGGAATGTTCGAGGTAAATCCTGTAAAGAGAACAATAGAAGTTAGTCTAGAGAGAAACCTGCATTGCAATGCAAAGTAAAAGCAGTAGCACCTACGAATTAAAAAGAACGATAAAGTCCAGGGCCCATGCATCTAATGACCTTCTCAATCTGCTTTCTCCATTTCTCGGGTACACCATTTCTGTCTCCATTGGTCCTCTTACTACCATCGACTGATAACGATTTATCATTCTCCTGGCCATCACCAGCATTACTTTCTGGAGCAAGCAAATTCTGGTAATGTGTCTCCACACGACGTACTCTCACACCAACAAAGGCTTGCCATACCTGTAACAACGATGCTGTATAAAGTGCAAAGCTATTCTGCTAACATAAGAATCATGAGAATCAATAAATTAACTTCAAACTGTACCTCTCCCCTGAGATCCCTTGGCACTCCCCCGCGAACAAGGAATTCCAGTTCTTCTTTCCCAGAAAAGAATGGTTCTGGAGGGACCCTGCCACTGGCAGCACTTTCTTCTCCAGAGGCATTTACGCTATCATCTACTATCTCGTTATCATAGAACACTTCCTCGAAGTCCTCTTCAGATTCCCCTCTTGAGGGTCTCGCCTCTTCAACTGCTGGAAGATGATTTCGAGTAGTAGTTATCTGCTCATCTATCATACTCTTTCTATTCTCGATACGGGGACTCATCATATTCTCAATGGCAATAAGAGATGGTCTAATCTGAGCCCACGGTTGCACCTTACAGTTTTTTGTTTGTATTGCCACCAACACCTCCTTCCCGTGATCACTTTCTGTCTGAACATCAGAAACAGATTTCCCTCCTCTTGAATCATCCCCTTCCCAACTCACCTCCAGAACAAGCTCTGTTTTTCGCTCTGGAACTTCTGAATGCAATGTGTGGATATTTTTCTCCTCAGAGCTCAGTTGAGCACACTCAGGTTGCTGTTCAAGAAAGCTTTTCCATTTTTCTGATCTTTCTTCTTCCTCTTCCTGTAAGCATGTACACATAAGATTAAGCTGGGAGAGGACACATTGCTTTACTTCCTTGCTAATTATCATCACATGACTTCACAAAATCGCCTTACAGCCAAGATCATATTAACTAACGGCTCTCTAAAAAATTTCGAAGTAGTGACATAATTATTATTCTAAGTACCTCGAGTTGTGAGGAACAAAAAGAAAAAAACCAGATGACTGATACCTTGTAGATACTGGCGTACTCTCGAAATCTTTGAAGGTGCTGAGGTCTCACAGTAAATCCATAGGCATCCCTGTCAACATTAACGTCCGTGTGATCCTCAAAAAATAAAAAATAAAAAAAATCCACCAAGAGAACGAACATGATATAACATCATATGTCATAAACGAGGGGCGAAACAACAAATCATCATAATTCTTAAGTTCATACATACATACATGTGTGTGTAAACTGCAATGAAAAACTTACAGGGTTGCCCCGATTTTACCTGGAATCAACGTCCAATAAACGCTTACTCAACAAGGATAACAACATACTTCACAAAGAATTTCAATTCTACTGCCCATAGCGCTGATTTGCCTCAAATCAAACTCAAAAAACTAATCCTCCTACCACATTTCTCAATCCACAGCAAGATTAACACCTACCGTGCACATTACACATCCTAATCCTAATGTCCTAAATCATTTACATTTCCACTGCAAATCATATAAAAAAGAACTAAACACTTAAATTTGAAATTGCATTAGCAATGTATCAGAAGAAACAACAAAATTGTTAACCAGTCGTGAAACATGATGATCTGTAATTAATGGATTGACAAGATCCAGTTAGAAACCAATGAGTTAACTCGCTCAATCAATCAAAAATTAGAGCCGCAACGACCCCCTAAAATTCTGAAGCCTTTGCTCAATAAAAGTTACTAGAGTATAGGTCTAAAGGACGCGTGTAAAGATCAGAAAACTAAGGCAAATAAACACAGGAATATAGTGTGTATGTATATATATGTATGTATGTAAATGTTGTAACTTTGTATATATATGAGTTACCAACAAAAATTATGTATAGATGTGTGCCATTTGTTACCTCTTGGGCTCGAAATTGATGAGAAAATTGGAGGTCTTATGGGTCATCTGCGAGAGATTCGATTGACGGACTTGATTTGATTTCATCTCATTTGATTGGTTCTGCGAAATTAGGGTTTTGCTTCGACCGATTCGGAGGATCTAATGACTAATCCTTCATTTCTGCAACTGTTTTTACCTCTCCTTCGCGCTCTGTTTCTCGCTCAACGCTCTCTCTCTCTACTCTATTTCTTGATCTGTTCTTGAAATAGTCACGTGTGATGGCTTTCACTCTATTTTTTTACATGTGGAGATCCCTATCTAGACGGTGATTTAAATGAAAGTAATCATTTTATTATTGTAAGATTGCACACGTTTCGTCTAGGTGGGGTCAATGCAACGTGTCTTTTTCTGGAACCAGTAAAATTGTGATCGTTACTTTTACTGTAGATGACGTTACATTTTTTTTTTTTCTTTTTACATTTTAAGTCTTCTACCGTTTGGATTTGACTCGCTGGGCCCACTCGTATGTGTTGCAGCACATTATTGTTTACCTTGTACCATCAACCCCATCATGCCACGTGATTGTGCAGCATCATTTCCTGGAAGTTATGTCATGCTTAATTTTCATATGATCAACCACATGGTAGATTAGTCTAAACAGTACTAATCGATATGCAATTCAGATTCATGGTTTTTGAAACTCAATTTTCAACTTTAATTTTATATTTGTCATACAGTTTTCTATATATCAAATGAAGCTCGTCTCATCTCATACTAATAAGACTTCTTAAAAATATTTTGGGAGGATTATTCATTCATTACCTTTTTTTTCCCTTTTTTTCTCAGGCATTTTTCTCATTATATGCTCAGTGAAACAATTCATATCAATAATAATGTATGTGTTAAAAAATAATAATAATAATAATGTGTGTTATTGAGGAGGCCCCGGATGACATGGGCCAGATCCGACTCGCAAACATAGCATTCAGTCCGTACTGCTGGGCCAGCCCATAGAAGGACACTGCCATATGGGCCGAACGAGAGTAAGCCCATCAAAGGTGACCAAGGCTTACGAAGGAATAGGCCCAGATCCAGCAATCAGTAAATATCTAGTAAATATCTTATAAATATCTTGTAAATATCTATAAATAGGAGATGGAATGTAATGGAGGGGGATCTTTTTGGGTTGAGGTGTAAGAATTCTAGAGAGAGAAAGAGGAGAAGGAATTTCTTGCATCTTCAATTGGCGCCGTCTGTGGGAAGCGCATGGAAGTTTGGTTGATCAATGAGGAATATCTAATGGATTCAAACCAATTCGGGTGATCGAGACTCGATCTTTGGGATTTGAATCCAGAGCTGAGCGATTGTGACCTGCTCTGGAGGAATTACAATTCTTGAAGCTTTGGAGTGACTTCAGATCTACGAGTTCTTCGATTGTGGCAGGATCTGACGGATTTAGAGTTCAGACAATTCAGATCTCGTAAACAGTGAGCATAATTCGGAGAATTAGAAGCCAGATCTAAAAATTCCTACTCGCGAAGCTCAGATCTACTCGCGAATTTGAGATTAATGCCTTTACTCCGTTCGGGAATAATGATAGGTGAAAGCTCCAATCCGATGGAGGCTGTCCAGCAAACAAAGCTTGAAGAATTGATGAACTTGATTGAAGCTCTCAAAAAAGAAAATGCAGAATTGAAAGCTGGACTGCAGCATCGGCAAATACCTGCGGTTTCGCATCCACTTCCGGTCGGAGAAGGAGGTGTTCAATCTAATATGGCGCATCAAGGCGATCAGGACGAGAACAATCAGTCAGCTCACCACCGTGATGAAAGGATGATGGACAATTTGCCGCCAAATGTTCGTCGAGTTGAAGATCACGAAGGATCGACTCACGTTGATCCGCAGCGGGAAAGGTTTGACCGAGAGGAAGTGATGGAGGTTGATCGCCGTCGAGTAGCGTCGCCTTGGCAAAGAGAGTTCATAGAGGAACGGTCGTTCGATCCGTCTTACCGGCCCTCCATGGTTACTGTCACTCATCACGGTTCGGAGGGCAGAACCGTAACTCACAGAGCTACCGCTGGACTCCAGAGAGAGAATGAAGCTCTCCGATCCGCAGCTCGGACGGTGGATTCGCCATTCACCGACGAGATCTTGAATGCGCCGCATCCAAGGAAGTTTGCTATGCCAGTCTTTATTCTGTTTGACGGAACGACCGATCCGATCGACCATGTGTATCATATCCAGTTGAAAATGGCCCTGAATACGGAAAACGACTCTTTAATGTGCAAATGTTTCCCTACAAGCCTGGCCGGACCGGCGCTCAGCTGGTTCAAAAACTTGCCTAGGAGCTCCATTGGTAGTTTCAGAAACCTGTGCGATCGGTTCATAAGCCAGTACTATGGGAACAAACGCCCGCCGAAGGACATCTCGAGCCTATTCACGATGCGGCAGCACAAGGATGAACGTCTCCAGGCCTTTCTTACCAGGTTTAATCTCACTAAGAGTATGGTGATCGAATGCCACCCTTCAACGGCAGTTCAAGCCTTCAAGTTAGCCATGACACGCGGAACTCCGTTTCACACCAGTCTGGTAGTGAACACGCCGACTACTATGGATGAACTCAATGAGAGAGCCGATGGCTTTGTGCGCCTAGAAGAAGAGGAGGCAGCTAATGCTCGGACAACGTCGCTTGTGTCGACCGAGGAAAAGTCCAAGGCAAAGATCAGGCAGAAGTAGGCTCAGCCGCAACGTCAGACCTCTTGGAAGGCAGAAAAAAGGTCCAGGGAGGAAGAGTTGATTACTCCGCTGAAGGTCACTCTGGCGAGGCTGTATCAGGAGAACAAAGACAAGTTTCATCCACCACTGCCAATTAGGCAACCCCTCGAACAGAGGGATCAAACTAAACATTGTGCTTTTCATTCTGATTTCGGTCATCAGACTAACGAATGCAGGAACCTGAGGAGGCAAGTGGAGATGTTGATAGCTAGAGGGGAGTTCGCGAGTTATGTTCAAGGCTCAGCGATGGAGCAGAATCGACCGGTGGAACAAATAAAAAGGAGTCATAAACAAAGCTCCCACAATTCGCAACCAGTTCGTATAATCAATGCTATCCATGGTCGACCCGAGCCTAGTGAAGAGTCAGATGAGCTGCTCCGGGTGCGCCTGCGGCAGGCGCAGATGAAGAAAAGGGTCGGCAATGTGACTACTCTACACCAGCAGAGCCCGTTAATGCAGATAAAGTTCGACTGGACAGACCTGCAGCGTGTTCAACTGCCTCATGACGATCCGTTGGTAGTCAGTTTGACAGTGGCAGATTGCCTGGTGCGCAGAGTTCTGATCGACCCTGGGAGCAGTGCGAACGTCATGCCGAGGGACACATTTGACAGGCTCGACATTAAACCAGAGAGGCTCAAGCCCACCGGAAATCCCTTATTAGGGTTCGATGGGAAGAGGGTGGAACCCGTCGGGATAGTGGAAGTGGAGGTTCAAGCTGCAGAACGAGCTCTTATGGAAACTTTTGTGGTTGTGGAAATTCACCCCTCGTATAATCTCCTGATGGGAAGAGGATGGATTCACAGAGTCCGAGGTGTACCCTCAACTCTGCATCAGGTCATGAGGTGCCTCGGGCCCGATGGAGATAAAGTAATAGACATTCGGGGGGATCAGGTCGCAGCCAAAGAGTGTTATTCCGTCACACTAAAGCATGCTGGGAAAGGAAAGGCGCCCATCCGTTCGGCAAGCCCCAGATAGCAATTACAGGAACCTCCGCTCGAGCAGAATAGGGTGGAGGAGTCAGTTGACTTGACCGAGGAGCCCCTTCTGGATGTGCAGATCGATCAGTCCAGGCCAGAACGAACTACCAGAGTAGGTATAAGACTGACCAGAGAAGAGCAGCAAGAGCTAGTGGATTTCTTGTCCCACAATGCCGACGTATTTGCATGGAGTCACCTAGACATGCCTGGAATTAGTCCCTCCGTATCCTGTCATTCCCTGAATGTCAATCCCAATTTCAAACCAGTGAAACAGAAGCAGCGAAGATTTGCTCCATAGCGTAATCAGATCATAGCGGAAGAAGTCGATAGACTGCTTGACGCGGGATTTATCAGAGACGTGCACTACCCTGAGTGGTTGTCCAACGTCGTTGTGGTGCAGAAGAAAAATGGGAAATGGCGAGTATGCATTGATTTCACCAATTTGAACAAAGCCTGTCCAAAGGACAGCTTCCCATTGCCTAAGATTGATCAAATGGTGGATGCCACCACTGGGTATGAGCGTTTAACCTTTCTGGACGCATATTCAGGTTATAATCAAATTCCTATGGACCCCGCAGATGAAGAAAAAACTTCTTTTGTCACCGAGCGAGGAACATACTGCTACAAAGTTATGCCTTTCGGGCTAAAGAATGCGGGAGCAACTTATCAACGACTTGTTAGCAAAGTTTTCAAAAATCAATTGGGTAAGATTGTCGAAGCCTATATTGATGATATGGTGGTAAAGAGTAGGAAAAAGGATGATCATCTGAAGCATCTGCAAGAGGTATTTGATGTACTAAAGCGATATGGGATGAGGCTCAATCCGACCAAGTGCTCGTTCGGTGTGAGTTCCGGACAGTTTCTGGGACACGTGGTCAACCGCAGGGGCATCGAAGTTAGCCCCGCTCAAGCAGAGGCTTTGATTAAGAATGCCGAGCCAAAGACGATCAGAGAGGTGCAAGCCCTAACAGGACGAATAGCTGCATTAAGTCGATTTATTTCAAAATTGTCAGATCACTGCAAACCATTCTTTGACACGATTCGGAGCCATGGAAGGCAGGTCTGGGGGGATGAGCAACGACAAGCATTGACTCATTTGAAGCAATATATGCAGAATCCACCAGTCCTATCAGCCCCAGAACCGGAAGAAAAGTTATTTCTATACCTTGGAGTATCTGGTGTCGCGACGAGTGCCGTTCTGATTCGTTGCAAGGAAGGGGTGCAATACCCGGTATTTTATGTAAGCAAAACACTGATGGAGGCAGAAAAAAGATACTCAAAGGCCGAACGGGTGGTACTTGCACTTGTAAATGCAAAAAGAAAGTTGAGGCATTATTTCGAATCCCACCCCATAGCTGTTCTAACAACTTTCCCAATCAGAACGCTCATGCACAAGCCAGAGCTCTCGGGCAGAATGACAAAGTGGGCCATAGAGTTGAGTTCATTTGACATAACGTATGAGCCGAGAACAGCTGTTAAAGGGCAAGCGGTAGCCGATTTCCTACTAGAATGTGATGCCGAAGATACGGAAGAGGACCTTAGA